CTGGCGGACCGAGGTGCCGTACCTTCGTTCCTGGGGCCCTGGGGGGTCGGGTACAGAAGAGGGACACAGTCAGTGTTAGGGTGTTAACAGCTTTCCAAAAGCTGTTCAAGAGAGTGAACAGGTTGGGATGGGGGTGATGAAGACAAAGAGGCCCCGGAAGTGGAGTTCTTGTCCAGGGTCGCAGAGCTGGGGGGAGCACTGCAGACTGAAGCACAGAGGTTAGCCTGAGGTCACTGGGTTCCAGGGCTGGGTGAGATGCAGGGGAGCCTGGAGCCCATGGAACCCTGCCACGGTCACCTGCTTCTTGCAACTTTCCTCTTCATGCAGATTGTTACAAGTATAGCAGCACTTAGGGAACCCAGAGAAGTGAGTGAGCGGATGGTGTTCCAGAACCTCACTGGTCCTGATCCCTCTCATGATCTTTGTGACTGTGGTGTCCTGGAACTCTTCACATCATTCTTCCAGGCCTTGGGCCTGGGGACCTGGAACAGATTCTAAGCCCAGGGTCCTCAGATCAGGCTAGAGGTTATATGGAGTGGTTCCTATTGCTGGCAACCAGTGGAGTGAGGTGTGGAGGAATGTTGCCCCAGCATGGGTACCAGTGTGTGCAGACCCTTGGAGGGGAGACTGAGCTGAATAAGGGAACCTCAGTGTCCTTTCTTGTGGGAACAGAGAGCAAGGGGGCAGGAGCCAGACCTGGATGGCACCCTGAGAAGTTGGGTGTCTATTCTGGAGGTGATGGGAACAATGGAAGGTTTGGAGCAGTGGAGGGATCTGATCAAGCTCTTATGGGGCTTCCTGTGATTGCACCGTGGAGAACAGACTAGGGGTGTGAGGAAAGTGGCAGGAAGACCAGGGAAGAGGGTACTGCAGTAGTCCAGTGAGTGTTGATGATGTGGACCAATGCGGTGGCCTTGGAGGTAGAAAAAGTGGCTGGATTCTGAATCAAGTTTTTTTTAGTAGGTCTGTGATTTTCTGATTTTGAAGATGAGAGAGAAAATAGTAGAAGTCAGGGGTGACTGCAAGATTTTTGGTTTATCAGCTGGAAGGCTAGAAGCTCCAACTGGGACGTAGAAGTCGGTGATAGGATTAATTTTCCTTCAAGATACTAGTTTTGTTTTGGCCATGTTAAGTATATGAGATGTTTCAGAGAACTAATGAGTAGAAGTAGAAATGGGTAGCTGGATGCACAGGTCTGCAAAATGTGGACCAGGATGGAGCTGTGTTTCTTAGTTTGGGCAGCTAAAACAAAATACCTTTATTTCTCAGAGTTCTGGAAGCCAGGAAGTCCAAGATGAAAGTGCTGGCAGCTTCATTTCCTGGTGAGGGTCTCTCTTCCTGTCTTGCTGATGGCTGCCTCCTCACTGTATCCTCACATAGCCTTTTGTTGGTGCAAACAAGTGAAGAGAGCAGGAGATCTTTCTCTCCTTAGAAGGGTCCCACCCTCCGAATCTAAACCTCCCAAAGCCCCAACCTCCAAATACCATCACACTGGGGGTTAGGGCTCCAACGAATGATTTTGGGAGGGTGCATACACTCAGTCCATAATTGCTGTGGATCACATTTAGGCAGGGTAATCCCAGCCATGATGATGTTAATAGTAGTCCAGGAAGGGGAGGGCGGGATCAGAGGGCTGGGTCTCATGCTTGGTCACCTATTTGTGGAGTGGCAGACATCATAAACACAAGTGAAAGACAGAAGTGGTGGTGGGAACAGTGTAGAAGTGTATGAGATGGCCACCATGTACAGATGGCCAAGGCTTCTGAGGGATGAGATGCAGAGGCATAGGGGTGGTGGAGGCAGTGAGGCCAGGACTGCTGCTTATTCAGTGCTCTGGGGTCACCAGGATTTTGTCATGACCTTGGTGTGTCAAGGGAGTTTCAGCCAGGCACGTGGATTAGCTCAGGGGCCAAGCTCAGGGGCCAAGTGGTCATGTAGGAGAATTGCTGGACCTGGGGTGGAAGGTCTCTGGCACTGGTTTTGAATGAGGGTTAGGAAGAGAGGAAGGCTTGACAGGCGAGAGCCCATCAAGTACAGCACAAGTGGAGGAGGGTCATGGGTGGTTGTGAGTGGCTGAGGTTGAAGCAAGGACTAGTCAGGCAGGGAGAGCTGTAGAGCAGGATTCTGGGCTGTCTCTGCCACTGGAGATGGGGTAGTTCTGGATCCTGTTTGAATTGCCAGCACTCTATATGCCATGTGCTGAATAACATGGAGCAAGGAGAACTGGGGGAGGGAGTGGGAACTGAAGGCCTGAGGGCCCTGGCATTGAAATGGGAGCCCACACCCTTAGTTATGTCTGAGGGGTATGATCTGGGGGATCCTAGCAGAATTGCTTAACGAGAAAGAGTATTTCCCTGCAGGCCAGGCCCGGAGCTTAGGTATCGTCTAACTGCCCACCTACCTGTGGCTGCTGTGGATGGATATAGTGATCAAAGGGACCAGGAGGAGAGAGTGGGCATCAGTGGCATCAGGGCATCTCTTCTCTGAGATGGGGAAATGAGGAGGTGGGTGAGCAGGGGAAGAATGAGTGGGTAGATGAACTTGGGGTCCTAGGAGAGAAGCTGATTGTAGAATGAACCGTCCCATTATTGGCAGAGTTGTGTGACCTTTGAGGATGTGGCTGTGTACTTCTCCCAGGAGGAGTGGGGGCTCCTTGATGAGGCACAGAGGCTCCTGTACCACAATGTTATGCTAGAGAACTTTGCACTTACAACATCCATGGGTAAGGCCTTCATTTTCCTCTCAGTACCCTGAACTGTCTTTCCCCCTCTCCCAGAACCAAACCTTGGGCTTCTAACTTCCCACTTCCTTGGCATATGTGTTAAGGGTGCCAGTGCTAAGCTGTGTGCCCTGTCCCATGCAATGCACTCCTCAAGCAGCCCTAACACCTGTGACCCCATAGTGTGCAGGGAAAGGTCTAGGAGTCTGGAGTCTGGCAACCACCCTAATGGACCTCACTTCATTCACTCTCTCCCTGATGGGGTGACTGTGTCCAGATCGATGGCACCTTGTGGCCCAGGTTTTGCCCCTTCTTTTTATTTTATTTATTTATTTATTTGACAGAAAGAAAGCGTACAAGTCGGGGAGAGGGAGAAGGAGGCTCCCCGCTGAGCAGGTCCTGATGCGGGGCTCGATCCCAGGACCCCGAGATCATGACTTGAGCCAAAGGAGACGCTTAACCAACTGAGCCACCCAGGTGCCCCTGCCCCTTCTTTTTTTTTTTTTTAAATTGAGATGTAATTGACATAACATTATGTTAGTTTCAGGTGTACAGCATAATGATTTGATATTTGTATATATTGCAGAATGCTTACCACATTACATCTGATTAGCATTCATCACCATACAGAGTTCCAAATATTTTTTTCTTGTCATGAGAACTTTTAAAGATTCCTTGTGATTGCCTATATCAGGAATTGTAAGCATTGTCATGGTCACTATTTACGTGGTCCATAGACCTTTCTTTTTCATTTCTTTTTTTTTTTTTTAGATTTACTTATTTTAGAGAGAGCACACGCGCATGAGGGCATGAGCGGGAGGGGCAGAAGGAGAGGGAGAGAGAATCTCAAGCAGACTTTCCGCTGAGCATGGAACCCAACATAGAGCTTGATCTCATGACCCTGAGATCTTGACCTGAGCAGAAACCAAGAGTCAGATGCTTAACTGACTACGCCACCCAGGCGCCCCCTTTGTGGTCCATAGACCTTTCTTGGAAGACCCTCTTTTGAGATTTTATTGTAATGTTCTTTCCTGTGGTCTAATGTTTCCTGAGTTGCTCTGGGCCAGTGCTGACCACTCACCTGTCCTGTCTTTCCCTAAGGACTTGCTTCATTCGGGTCCCATGTAGTTACACAACTGGGAGTCTGGGGAGCGCCCTGCTTGCTTCACAGGGTGAACATGACAGGATGGTCTCAGAGGAAGCCTGGCCCTGGTGAGTGGCAGCTGGTGAGGGGTGGGGGGCGTGACATCAGGGCTGTGTTCTGAGCATACCAGGAACCTGCCCTGTGTTCACCAGTGTTTTGGTACATTGCCACTGGACACATCATTTACACTGTTTTCTGCGTACTTGACACTTTTCTGATTCTGAGTGACATTTCATCTGTGACTTCCATTCCCTGGCCATCCCCAGGTTTCTGACCTCCATGTATCATTTGTTCCTCTCCACTGCACGGTCTGCAGTTCTCCCACACGTAATGTGTTGTGAGGTATGCACATAGCCTTAAACCCAGATACTCAGTCCCACTTGTATTTCCCTCGGCCTGGACACAACCATCATTCTGTGTAGCGCGGACTTGTCCCTAGACAACAAGTTCCTGCTGAAGGCTGTTGGAGAGGAGAGAATTCGTGATTCTGCCTCCCCTCCCTGTGTTGCACCCCATACTTGTGCCCTTTGTCTCAAAAGGTCTCCCTCATTCTCATCTTTAGAGGCCCAGTACTGCAAAGCAGCCCTCCCTTCACATTGCTGCCTCATTCTGAAATTACTCCCATGGATTAAACATTTTATTTATTTATTTGAGAGAGAGAGTGAGAAACAGCATGAGAGGGGAGAGGGTCAAAGAGAGAAGCAGGCTCTCCGCTGAGCTGAGAGCCCAATGTGGGACTCGATCCCAGGACTCCGGGATTATGACCTGAGCCAAAGGCAGATGCTTAACTAGCTGAGTCACCCAGGCACCCCTATAACACACATTCTTGATGGGACTTCACTCTCTGCAAAGTTAAAATATACTGTATCAGTATTTCTCTACTTTTCACATTGTTGGTTTGGAGCAGAGGATGAGGAAGTACCTTCTGAGCAGAGCGTTTCTGTTAGAAGGAGTATCACAGGTCAGGACTTCTAAGGCAGACTCATCAATCCAAAAGACTCATTTCTGTGAGAATTGTGTCCCAGTATTTTTTTTTTTTAAGATTTTATTTATTTTTTGACAGAAACACAGCGAGAGAGGGAACACGAGCAGGGGGAGTTGGAGAGGGAGAAGCAGGCTTCCTGCTGAGCAAGGAGCCCAGTGTGGGGCTTCAGGACCTGAGCCAAAGGCAGACGCTTAACTGACTGAGCCACCCAGGCCTCCCTGTGTCCCGGTATTGAAAGACGATTTGCACCCTTCTGAGCCAAGCAGCATATTCTGGGCAGAAGTCATACTTGGGTGGGGCATCCAGAGGCTTCTGGTTTGGTGCAAACCTTCACCAGTACCAAAAGCATGACAGTGGAGAGAAAATCTTCAGAATAGATGTGAACAGTGCCTTGTTTGTGATGAGCTGCAGATTCCATGTATCAGGGAAGCCCTTCACCTGTGGGGAGTGTGGAAAGGACTTTCCAGCTACCTCAGGCCTTCTCCAGCACCTGGACACTCCCAGCGGTGAGAAGCTACAGTGCAGCATTGACTGTGGGGAGCCCTTTAACAGTGGAATAAGTCACAAGTGGATTGAATGCAGGACAGTTTTCAGGAGCACTCACATCCTTCACCACCAGTGATTCCACACTGGAGAAGGTCTTGATGGATTTAGCAAATGTGGAAAAGCCATCAGCTACAAATACAGACCTCTTCAGCACCAGCAAATTCACGCTGGGGAAAGGGCTTACGAGTGTAGTGAATGTGGGAGATTCTTTAGCCACAAAACCCATCTCATTTGACACTGGCGAGTTCACACTGGAGCAAAGCCTTATGAGTGCATAGAATGTGGGAGATCTTTTAGCCAGAAATCTGACCTCATTCAGCACTGGAGAGTTCACATACAACATGGTAAGTTTTGACATGTGTAAACACTTAGGAAACCATCCTTGTTATCAGTGATGATGAGAATGTCCGTCACCTGCGTCTTTTCCTTATTCCCTTTTATAATCTCTCCTTGACTCTCCAGGCCACCTTTGATTTACATTCCTTTACAACTGATTGCATTTTCTAGAATTTTATGATTGATCATAAAGTGTTTACTCTTTTTTTCTGTTTTCTTGACACTGCTTTGAGATTCATAAATGGTGCTTATAGGACTATTTAATTCTTATGCTTTTTATTTCATGTGTCGTCAACAATATTATCCATTCATCAGTTTATGGGTATTTTGGTTATTTCCACTGTTCAGCTATTGGAAATCTGATGTAAAAATTTGTTTATAATTCTTTCTATGGATATATGTTTAATTTTTCTTATATTAATGACTGAGTGCACTGAGTCATAGGGTAGGTGAATATATAACTTTTTTAAAAATACTGCCAAACTGTAATCTAAAATGGTTGTGTCTTTTTGTACTCCCACCAGCAGTGTGTGAGACTTCCAATTCCTTCACACCCTTGTCAATGCCTGGTAAGATGACTTTTTAATTTTACTGTTTTAAAATAAGCATTGGTATCTCATTCATTTTAGTTGCATTTCCGTATGGATTTATGATGTTGAGCATTATTTCATGTATTTGCCATCTATTTATCTTTTTAAAAATATGTTATTTATTTATTTGACAGAGAGAGAAAGAGAGCACAGCACAAGCAAGGGGAGCAGCAGGCAGAGGGAGAAATAGGCTTCGCGCCGATCAGGTAGCCCGCTGTGGGACTCGATCCCAGGACCCTGGGATCATGACGTGAGCCAAAGGCAGATGCTTAACCAACTGAGCCACCCAGGCGCCCCTCTATTTATCTTTTTTAATAAAATGCCTATTCTTCACTTCGGGCTAGTTTCTATTTTATGAAATTTGGTTATTTTCCCTTTAATAACACGTAAGATGATAAAACAACAAAGACTTATGTTGGAATTTTATTTGTTCTTCAGTAATGTGAGCAACTTCTTTGTTGTGTGGAATAATTGTTTTTGAATACTGGAAGAATATTCTGTCATTTTTTTTCTTTAATTTTTCTTGGGGGCATGTGCAATGTAGTGGCTACCTATACCATTTAGTAGCATATTTTCCATCACTTTTCTAGGTGTAGACATTTGATATATTCAGCAATACAATAAATTAAGCCCTAGTTTGCAGCATTTGCCAACTTCCTTGGTATAAGTTCTCCCACGATGGCCAGTTTCAAACCGAAAACGAGGTTGGGACGAGTTGGCACTAGCACACGGTTCTCTTCACCCTGTTGATACACTAGCCACAGATAACCTCAAGAACATATATGATAAAACAGTAGAATGACAAGGGAGTGATGCTATTTGAGTATTTGTAATTTAAAGTTTGATATATAATTGACAAATGCACATATTTGAAATGTATATTTTGATGTTTTGAGTCATCAAAACTAAAGTTTCGGGGCGCCTGGGTGGCTCAGTTGTTAAGCGTCTGCCTTCGGCTCAGGTCATGATCCCAGGGTCCTGGGATTGAGCCCCGTGTCGGGCTCCCTGCTCCGCGGGGAGCCTGCTTCTCCCTCTCCCACTCCCCCTGCTTGTGTTCGCTCTCTCACTGTGTCTCTCTCTGTCAAATAAATAAAATCTTTAAAACAAACAAACAAACAAAAAACTAAAGTTTCCATGTGCCCTCTTTAAATTCGTTCTTCCCACCATATAGAATTACTGATACGAGGACATATTCTACCATTTGAATAAGTAATGGCTACTTTCAAATATAAACAGAAGTGGAAAAGACTCTCATGGAGCCTCAGTCTTCCATCGTTTTTTATGGTCTTTCTGGTTTCATCTTCCTTTGTACATACCAGTGGGCTATTTTACCCATGAAACATAGACATCATGTTTTTCAGTGCATACTAAAGAATGCTTTTCTAAAGTGTAAGAGCTTTTTCATAATGCTAATAACTTTCTCCCAGAATAAAAATATTTTAAATTATGATAAATACGAAAAATTCAATGATGAATTTTATCAGTTTTCTCAAAAATGGGTTTGTTCTTTAAGGTAGACTAGTTACAGGGGCATCTGGGTGGCTCAGTCATTAAGCGTCTGCCTTCGACGCTCAGGGTCCTGGGATCAAGCCCCACATCGGGCTCCCTGCTCAGTGGGAAGCCTGCTTCTCCCTCTCCCACTCCCCCTGCTTGTGTTCCCTCTCGCTATGTCTCTCTGTCAAATAAATAAATAAAATCTTTTTAAAAAGGTAGACTAATTACAATCAGGATACAAAATACGGGGTGCCTGGGTGGCTCAGTCTGTTGAGTGTCTACCTTCAGCTCGGGTCATGATACCATAGTCCTGGGATCGAGCACCACATCGGGCTCATGCTCGGTGGGGAGCCTGCTTCTCTTTCTCCCTCTGCCACTCCCTGTGCTTGTGCTCTCTTTCTCTCAAATAAATAAATAAAATCTTTTCTTAAAAAAAAAAAAGGGTACAAAATGTGTTTTGTGGGTCTGTTAACCTATAGGTGCTGTAGGAAACAGAACGCCATAGCGACCACTGGCGCATGTTCGCTCAGACTCCGAGATCTCTGAGAAAACTCGAGATTGCAGGGTTAAAAATAACCCGAAAGGATCAGAGTGAAATGCCCTTGGGACGTGTGTGGTCAGTTCTAAAGTAGGCAGCAGAAGATGCTTAGTAGATAGGAAGCCAGCTGTAAACAGCACACTGGGCACTCCCCTCTTTGTTCCTTTATTCTGTTTTAAAGATTCTTACGTGCTTGACTAATCCTGTATAC